TTTTAAAAATAAATAATTTATTGAGAATTTCATACATGCATATAGGGTGTTTTGATCAAATCCATGCCTACTCCCTCCCCTCTAACTCCTCCCATATCTCCCCAGCACTTTTTTCTGATAACTTCATGTGCTCTTTCTTCTTGTTTTGTTTTTTTTTTTTTTTAATGGGGCTGGGTAACATACCTATAATCCCAGCCTTCAGAAGGCTGAATCAGGAAGATTGTAATTTTAAAGCCAGCCTGGGCTGCATAGTAAGATCCTGTCTCCAAAAGCGAAGTCTCTGGCTTTAGTTCTGCCTGTACCATATGTGAATCCTTCAGAGTCATGCAGATTCATTGGTTTTAATTTAGCCTTGAATAAAATGGAAAGAGTTCCATATTTTTTCCTTTATAGCATCTTCCAAGGTATAAGAAACTAGTCAGCTGACTTGGCTCTTGCCCTTTATTAGGCTAAAATGTATTCATATTTCATTAGAACAAAGTAATGACAGTTACATATTTAATTGGCTAATAGAGCCTTGGTTTTGGAAAGTTTCTCATCTAAAGTCAGCATAATACTCAGAAATTCTTTTTGGACCCAATTAGAACTTTATTTTTATGCAAACTGTTTAGATCAGAACTAAATATAGCTTTTATCTTATTAGCAAATCAAGTATTACCCATGGTACCATAGTAAGGTATTTATAATTAATAACATTATTCTGTATCTTAATGTAGGTGAAGAAAACTGGTCTTGTGGTGGTAAAAAACATGAAAATTGTTGGACTCCATTGTTCTAGTGAAGACTTACATACTGGACAAATTGCACTTATTAAACATGGGTCAAAGCTGAAAAACTGTGATCTTTATTTTTCCAGAAAACCATGTTCTGTTTGTTTGAAAATGGTTGTGAATGGTAAGTACAGATAAGGTGGTACTGGGGACTAACTAAGATCATTTATCTGAGAGCAGACAAGGGAACAAACACATTGCCTAAATACTACAGAAATAATGTGTAAATGTTGGAAGACCATTTGGCACATTTTAAGAGAAGGGTCTGAAAACATAGATTCTAGGCTCAGCTCTGTCCACAAATTAACTATATGACCCTCAGTGAATTACACACTAATGCTAGTTCACAGAGGAACCCAAAATTTCAGTGTCTTAAGATTCTACGTATCACCTCTAGAACTGTCTAACTGATAAACAGCAGGCAGCTTTGTCCATGTGGCTGATTTATAGGACATAGCTTTTACCTTATTAGCAAATCAAGTATTACCCATGATACCATAATAAGGTACTATAAATAATAACTTATTATTCTGTATCTTAATGTAGGCATCATCCTTATTGCTGTTGTCATCCCTGGGGCCTTGTTTGAGTCCTGTGCATCCAGAGGCACACTGAGAAAGGCAGAGAGAAGGAATATCTGCTTCTTAAGAAATTTTGAGTTGGGAGTAAGGACAGGGAGGAGGTTGAGGATCGTAGCTCAGTGATGAGTACTTAAAGCACACTTAATCATTTCAGAGGGTATGGACTGCAGGTGATTTGATGCTGCTTGATGTCTGTAAGACATTTCAGTCTGGCACATGAGGAAGGCCTCACAGAAGAACTGCTCCATTAGACCGGACAGATATATCTATAGATCTTCTGTCTTGAGCAGGGCCACCATGAACCCATGCTATATCACTGTTCAGACAGTCAGTTAAAACAGCAAACATTTGCTAGCACAATGGTCCTTAAACTACAGACTCTTGCCGAGGTCTCCACCACTTTCATACTAATGCTGCCATCATATCAGGAATACAAAAAACAGTTGTGAGTGAAACCACTAGAACCATAGCCTGAAGCCACACATCCCACCCCGCTGCACTGCTGCCATTGCACCTGTCTCTGCGGGAGTGCAAAGGAGACCAGTTCCATGCACCTTTAATCCCAGCCCTCAGGAGGCAGAGGCAGTTGGATCTCTGTGAGTTCAAGGCCATCCTGGCTACAAAGCAAGTTCTCGGCCAGCCAGAGCTACATAGTGAGACCCTGCTAAAAAAAAAAAAACGTAGAAGCTTGAAGAAACAATAAAAATCATCCAGCTCATTAAATCCTCACCCTGAGTACATATCACTTTATATTCTCTGTGAAGACAGAGAGGTGGTCATAAAGTTGTTGTGCTAAAAAAAAAATCTAAGTGTGGGGTTGCCATAAAGAAAACCACTTATGTAATTGAGCTGCAGGCTTTTTTATGGAATACAAGAACTGACAACTGGTTATTTAGACTTAGATATTTGGCAGGCATGGCTTCAGAAAAACAATGAACCTGTAACTTTCAGAAGGAAAATTGACAGTATTTGTTGTTGGTAATAAATTTGAACTTTCCAAGTGAAAATTTGAATTTGGGAAATGGGACTGGAGAGATGGCTCAGCAGCTAAGAGCACATACTGCTCTTGTAGTGAACCCACGTTTGATTCCCAGCAGCTCAGAACAACCTGTAACTCAAGCTCTAGGGGATCAGATGCCTCTGGCCTCCCAGGGCACCTGCACTCACATACACATACCCATGCAGACACACACATACATATAATTAAAAACAATTACCTCTTTAAAAAAATTACCTGAAGTTGGGAGACTGGTGCTGATATTAATGAATGAGATTATTATGGATACTGTAAAATCAGTACATGATTTTCCAGTGACTAATGTGAGATGCTGTAAAGTCAGGCATGAGTGAAAGAACAAGACAGACCAAGGTCTATAACATGAAACTACAATACCTTTATGGTTTCAGATTCCACATTATGACTAAGTTATATATATAATGTCAAAGAAAAATAGAGTTATCTGAAATGGCCATTTCAACTGTATATTTGTTATGAGCCTGGATGTTTTTTGAATACTTCAGTGAAAACAACCTATAGTAACAGATTGAAAGCAGAAGCAGATTTGAGACTCCAGCTGTCTTCTATTTAGCCAAATACATTAAAGGTATTTGGAAATTATAAAACAATGATGTTCTTACTAATTTTTTTTTTTTTTGGTCTTTTTGAGACAGGGTCTCCCTGTAGCCCTAGCTGTCCTGGAACTCACTATGTAGGCCAGGCTGGCCTTGAACTCTCAGAGATCTGCCTGCCTCTGCCTCCCAAGTGCTGGGAATTCTTACTAATTTTTTCCTAAAAATTCAAAGTTTTCATAACATTGTTATTTATATTAGATAAATTGGTTCTTTATCATTAATTTTTGTCAAGACTTTAATTTTCTATTACAGCAAATGTCAGTAGATATAGTCCACATAAACAAAAGCCCATTGGAGTCCTCAACAATTTTTAGATATATAAAGAAGGATCCTGAAAACAAAAACCTTAAGCACTTTGTCATAGCATTCATCACTAGTGCATTAACATTTGTCTGAAGACAAACGTTCTCCCTTCTCAGATCAGAAGTGCTAGGAGGAACAAGATCCTTAGAGGGAAGGTTTACCATCACTGCTGGTTTAGAATTGACTTGATCTTAGCCAAAAGGCCAAGAAGCTGTCACTGTTGGATAGGAAGTAGACTATTATAACAGAGGCCAGGTGAAATACAACCAGGGCACATTGATCTGAGCTTCAAGGCCTTCAATTTGCTTTGTAGCTCAAGCCACAATGAGTTAGGAGTAGCAGGGAGTAGATAGAAATTGTATATTTAGGGGCTGGGGGGTAGCTCAGAGGCTAAGAGCACCTGATGCTCTCCCAGAAGGACCTGGGTTCGGTCCCAGCTCCCCTATCAGGCAGCTCACAACTACCTGTAACTTCAGCTCCAGAGGTCTGACACCTGTCCTCCATGAGTATCTGCACTCATATGCACAAACCTACACACATACACAAACCTAAATGCAGAGAATAAAAGAGACCTATATAAGATCAATCCCAACATGGATGGGGGAGGAAGTCAGGAAGTCCGCCCCTAGCTGAGAAACAAATTGTTGCTGGGAGAAGAAGGTTGGTTTTCTTCAAGGATGTGGCCCTGGAGAGGCTACACGTGCTCCAGTAGGTCTGATACCCATGCCCAATACTGGCAGCACTAAGTAGACTCCATGGGTTTTTTAAAAAGGGGACACATGAAATTGAGAGAATAGTGGTAAAGATAGGGGAGGAGCTGGAGGGGAGAGAAGTGGGGGTGGGGATTAACCTCATCAAAACACTAGAGCCTAGGCATGGTGGTACATGCCTTTAATCTCAGCACTCAGGAGGTAGAGGCAGGCAGATCTCTATAAGATCAAGGCCAGCCTGAGTTACAGAGTTCGTTCTCAGCCAGCTATAGCTATAGGGAGATCCTATCTCAAAAAAAACACCCACAAAAAATCCCCACAGAAACCCACATTATATGCATGGATGAAATTCTCAATCAAAAATATGCATGCACATACTAAATGTGAAGAATTTTTTTATCTTGCTGACCTGAAATTACATGAGATGCTAACAAAAAGTTATCTGTTGTAAACTATTCATTAGTTGACAGACATTTGCTAATTTTATAGCAACTTATTCAATCTCATAAGCATATTAAAATATTTTTTCATGTTTGTTATCCAATTATGTTTTCTCTTTCATAATTGCCTGTTCATATTTTTGTGTCTTAGGCCTTATTCCTGTCAATTCATATGTACTCTTATTTGATGAGCTAAATCTTTTCTGTATATTAAAAATTACTGACCTTTCTTATGTCATATTGATTAAAAAATGTTCCTTTTAGTTTGTTTTCTCTTCGATGTATGGGCTTTAAAAAGTTTGTGTTTCTCCCTCTCACTGTTCCATCTTCACCTAAGAATTTTTTTTCTGTTAAAAATTTTTTGTGACTGGGGCTGGAGAGATGGCCCAGTGGTCAAAAGCACTGGATGCTCTTGCAGAGGACCTGGGTTTAATTCCTAGCACCCACATGGTGGCTAACAACCATCTGTATCTCCAGTTTGAGGGGATCTGACACCCTCTTTTGACCTCCATGGGCATTGTACAACATGAGTGCACTTACACACATGCAGGCAATACACTCACACACATAAAATAAAAACAATAAATAAAATATTTTTTTAATTCTTTGTGACTATCAAGAACAATGCATGTATGGAAATACCATCATGAGACCCATTACTTTTAAATGCTAATTTTAAAAATTAATTTTGCCGGGCGTGGTGGCACACACCTTTAATCCCAGCACTTGGGAGGCAGAGGCAGATCTCTGTGATCCAAGACCAGCCTGGTCTACATAGTGAGTTCCAGGGCAGCTGGGGCTACAGGGAGACCCTGTCTCAAAAAGACCA